GTGGAGATTGATTATTTTTTTTCCATTACACACAGAAAATCTACATATAGTACCTGGAGTGGAATTTCAGCATTTGGAAGAGGGATGACCAGAGGATCTCCCCCAGTTCCCAACACTGTGACTGAATTGAACTCATCATATTCCACCTGTATCAATAAATAAACATTTCCTAGTAAGAAAAGAAATTAAATTTTTTCTAAACACATCTTTTTACCTTTACAGAAATCCTGTAAGTTTCTTTATCGCAAGTCACAAGTTTGTGAAGAGTAAAATTAAATTTTCATAATTGTTAAAATAATGCTTATGTGTATATGTGAGTATGGCAAAATCAGTAGACTGAAAACTGAAAGTGTTCGTTTTCAGAATCAATCTTTCCTAGCCTAAGGATAAATCTGTAAACTGATGTGTAGCCCACGCACAATGCCAGATTCTGAAGTACAGTCTGTGTAAGTAAAATTCCTTAACATCACCCTCAGTGTTACATAATATACATAAGTCCATGCATTAGTACCAAGTACCTTTTTCTTTTCCACATCAAACCCTCCTTCAACACCTACCAAAGGGAAAACAAGGACGGTTTCTAACTTTCATGTAACATTACATACCGCTTAAATCTTCAGTTGGGCTGACATTTGAGGGCCCCTTCATTGGTGGAGTGAATCATTTATATTAAGATTTTAATGACTGTATATGTTACACTTCTAAAATTCATGTTTTGATAGGATCAATGTGCTAACATTGTAAAATATTTACATCAGTCTACACAGAGACAGGTTAAATATAATGATATGCTCAAACATACTTAGATGCCCTCCAGTTCTCACAAGTGAACCTCGCACAAACCCTCCATGCATGGCCATAGCTCAGTTTCAGATCTCCCAGATCTCTTTCTTGAAAGTTTCTGTAGTTACATAATTATTGAACTGGTTTATGAGCCAACCCTGTATGCCCTACTATTTCTTTAATTTGGATTTTGAAATATTGCTCAGCGCTTACAATTGATTACCAACAAATTGAAAATTGGGCCCCAGAACATCAACCACACTAATCATTGAGCACAATGGAGTAAGAATTTGGCCAAAGGTCTTGGGAAGGTCATGGAAAACCTGATTGAGTCTGGAAAAAAATCTCATGTGTAGTGAGGCAATTAAAAGTTAAGAAATCCAAAATGCAACCCACCAATTGCTAGTCTCGTAGGTTTTTTCTTTGGTGGAGTATCTGTACAGCTATCTGTTTCAATCTGAACCTTTCAGTGAAAACGAACAGACAAATATCAACCATGGAATTATAAAAATTGTATACTGTACAATTAACAAATGAATGAAATCTAGTGTGTAAAATAATTTTCCATTTTAGACTGCTTATAGGTTCACTGCAACAACAATGTGGAGTACATTTTTGTGACTTTCCTTTTGAGACAAAGCTGGAAATTTCTATAGTAATTTTTTTTAAATGATAAATAGTTAATACCGGTATATTGCATTTTACAGTGTCCTCATTCTCATGATGTTAAAATGTATGGCACATGTATGTGTTAAGCTATAAGTTTATGTCACTTTAAATTTTTTTAACATCAAGTTTAATTTTTCTTTTCCCCTGTTTGAGAATAATTATGATATTCATAATTAGTACAAGACAGAGGAAAACAAATATCAACATGGTTTAAAAAGTTTAACCTCTACCCAAGAAAGAATTGACCCGTCATGAAATGTCTAAAGTTTACCACAAGATTAAAACAAAAATCTTTCAGTCTTTTTGAAAATATTGCATTGATAATAAATGAAGGCACTAACTTAAAGGTACATCTTAAAATGAATGTACTTAGAAAAAAATCCTTTGATAA